GGAAGCCAGATTTACAGTCACACTGCGATTTGCAGTAACAATCCAGGATGCTAAACAATTGCTTGCATAAACATCAGCCATATGTGGCCTGAGCTTGACTGATGAGTGACAGTTCCTTACTGTTTGTACTTGCTTTCAACCTAGGACCCCTACATAAAGTCACATATGTTTCTCTAAAAATCAGTAAAACTAGTTCTAGTCAGCCTGCCTGCTGCTTCCCCCAGACAAGGGCTCGTATCACAGCATACTTGAAGTCTTCTCTTGTTTCCTGGACAGCCTACCTGTCCATCCTGCCTCACTTGCAGTCTCTCCAGCACCTAAATGACAGTGGTGCTTATTCCTTGTGACAGCAAGCTCCAAATAGACTGGCTTTGCCTTTCTTCTTCAGGGTTTTTTTTTTTTTTCAACATTTATTTATTTAAAAGTCAGAGTCATAGAGAAAGGGACAAAGAGAGATCTATCATCAACTGGTTCACTCCCCAGATGTCTGTAACGACTAGAGCTGGGCCAAGGTGAAGTTAGGAGTTAGCAACTTCTATTTTCAGGCACAAAGCGGGATTCGAAGTGGAGCACCAGGGACATGTATCAGCCCCCCTTGAGACGCCAGTGTCACAGGGGTAGACTTTATCTGCTACTCCACAATGCTGGCTCCTCCTTTGATTAATTGTCATTTTTATCCCCACTACTGAGCATTTACCAAAGGCCCATAATTGGGAAATGAGATCACATATGAAAAGCACAGAAATCTCAGGACAGGTGCGACCCTTGGAACAGGCACATCCTGTGCCAGTAGGCCTAGGGTTAGGTCCTGGCTGTGCTCCAGCCTCTTGCTAACAGGTCTTGGTGGCAACAGATCAAAGTTCAACTACTCAAGTCCTTGCAGGGAGACCTGCATGGCACTCCAGATTCCTACCACTGGAGGCAACTGCTGAAATCCAGGTATTTGGGGAACAATCCAGTAAAAGCTTGCACACTCTGTAACTCTCCTCTGATACATAAATAAATCGTAAAAAGATCACCCAGTGTTGTTCTGTTAAAAGCCTACTATCACTTCTCATTTCTTACATGCAGAGTACTGAAGTTTGCGATAGTTAAATGGTTCCTCATATTCTGCTCTCTACATCATGTTGGAGTTAGCACTTTTGGTACACTGTTCTGATAGAAATATTTGAGATACTATTTACCTCACCATAATAACATCAGCATTTTCTAGTATTACTTGCATTTGTGTACACCAATTTTCTGGACAAATATCAACACTATTTTGAATTGATCTGTTGCTTTAAAGTTAGAATTTATCAACATGCATGCAAATTCAAAATAATGAAAAAGCACCAAAGAAGTAACTCCTATGATTTATCTGCTGTTAGAACACATCAGCAGAAATCAGTTGGGGCCTAATAGGAACTGCATCAAGAGGCTTCTCCTAAATAATGAACAGAAAAAGCTCCTAAAAATGTGGCTAATTGTGATATTGACCAAGAAAAAAATAAAGAAGAAATTTGGGTGATTTTAAAAAGAAGGTAAGAACTATGCATTTGCCTAATGTTATAGTTACAAGTTTTTTTTTTAAGCGATGTATTTATTTATTTGAAAGATGAAATTGGAGAGAGAGAGAGAGACCTACCAGCTGGTTAGCTTTCCTAATGACTACACTGGCCAGGTGTGGTCCTCTTAAGCCAAGAACCAGGAAATCCAGCTTGATCTCTCCTGTGAGTAGCAGGGTTTGAAGTACCTGGGCCATCCGCTGCTCTCTTTTCAAGTGTATTAGCAGACAGCTGGATAGATGTGCAATAGTCAGACTTACAAACTGGGGCTGTGACACAGGATTCACAGCCAATGGCTGAACCCACTGCTCCTATAATTTTTTTTTTAATTCATTGCTTAACTCTTACATATGTATTATTGTGCCTTTTTCAAAAATGAGAGAGCAATATTGTCATCATATATAGAAAATTACCACAAGTTTCTTGGCTAGTGAGCAGTGACATCTATATTTAAAAATGAATTAATGTTTGGTTTCAAAGTCCATTAAAGTATGATTAAGAAATACTTAGTCAAACGTCACCTTAAGATTTTGACTTAGCAAAAAATTTGGTCACAGAATCTTAAATTGAAGTAATTTATAAAATAGATTTGTATATATTAGAAATTTCCACAAAGGTTCCATAAACTGGGTCTGGGACGGCAGCCTAGTGGCTAAAGTTCTTGCCATGCATGTGTCCAGCAGCTGATTCTAATCCCAGCTGCTTCACTTCCCATCCAGCTCTTTGTTGGTGGCCTGGGAAAACAGTTAAACACAAACCAAAAGCGTTGGGATCCTCTGCTGGGAGAACCAGAGGAGGGCCCAGGATTGTGGCTTCAGATCAGCTCTGCTCTGGCTGTTGCAGCCACTTGGGGAGTGAACAATTGGATGGAAGATATTTTTATCTCTCTGTCTGTAAATCTGATTTTTCAATTAAAAAAAAAAAAGAAGAATCTTTAAAGGTCCCAAAAAGCCAGAAAAAAATAGGGCAATATGGATGACTAAAAAGGCTTTTTTCATGCCTGAAAATAATATTATACTTAGTTATTTATTTATTATATTTAGGGACAATTTCCTTCCCAAAGACTAAAAATGTATAAACAAATTTACAGATGACATTGTTTAAACAATAATGGGGGATAAGAAGTGATTCCTAAAAGGTCAAATTAGGGGGTTGGTAAGGTGGTGTAGCAAGCTAATCTTCCATCTACAGTGCCAGTAATTCCAAATGGGCATCAGTTTGTGTTCTGGCTACTCACCTCTGATCCAGCTCCCCACCCTCCCCAACACACAGGCCTGGGAGACCTAGAGGGGGTTTGTGCTCTTGGCCTTGGATTCGCTCAATTCCAGCCATTGAGGCCTTTTGGAGAATGAATCATGAACCAGTGGATAGATTTTCTCTCTCTCTCTCTGCAGTTATGCCTTTTAAACAATGTCATAATACATTTAAGTAGCAGAATGATGGACTTATGACTGTCTGTGCAGGACTATGCTGCTGGAATAATATAGAGGGAATCGGGAGAGAGTGTTGAGAAGGGAAACCCAGAGCCTATGAAACTGTATCACAAAATAGCAAAATAAAAACAAATACATAAACTTTTAAAAGGCCAAATTACTTCTCCCACGACTTCTGCTTTATCTCAATAATTCAATTTCTTTAACTCATAGCTTTATCCCAATTAAAATGAAGAAAAGTTTGGAACATGTGAATCAACATTAAAACATCAACACTTCTGGCCTTTATGACAATGCAAATTAAACAAGATTTGTTTTTTAATATCTCATGAATTTTACATTTAAAATTACAAATATAAACATGTAACTTTAACTTTTTGCATGGTAGGTGTAGTGGGGGATGCATCCAATTTACATATCTTAAATACTTCCATCCTTTCCACAAATGAGACTGGTAATCTTATTGCAACAGTTGAGGCAATTTCTAAACCTCTGATCTCTTCACTGAGCTTATGGGAAAACTTTCAGTCTAGACTGCGAGGATATGCCTTCCATAGAAAATAAAATTAATTGAGGTTTTCATCTTTTCATCTTTCTATATCAGACCTTGTACATGGAGGTAGATAGGTAAAAAGATGTGAATTGGCTGAGTAATTTATTTTATAAGAAAATCACTGAGGAATTCCCCAAAGAAGGCCAATCACAGATGGCAAGGTTGTTGTCAAGAAGCAGAGTATATCATAAAAATGACACGTTCCAGCAACTTAGAGACAGCTTCCAATAAATTCCTGTTCTTCACTGGCTAGCTGGATTACACCAGTCAAATCACCTAATTTTTATATTTTTCTCATCTATAAGATTGGAATAATAATAATAGAGCCTTCTAGAATAGTTGGAAGAACTCAGAGAATTAATACATACATGTTTAATAGTAAACTGTGGCTGAATATTACCTTTTTATTTCTGAGATTATGAATAAAGTTTCAGAATATAACTTTGTTTTAGAGAATGAGAAAGCTGAAGTTTTCCTTATGCCTGTGCTCAAAAGAAGAAGAACACCGCTTGTTCTGCTAGCTATGGCAATGCTCTTTAACGGAGAGTCAAGTAAGCGAAAGAGATTGTTTTCCAGAGAAAAGTAAGTATCATGTTTATATCTTATAAATAGAAGAAACTGATTACAAACTTCCTACTTTTGATGCTCCATGATGGCCAATGAACATCTGATTACAGCACTTAGCTTGCTGTGCTTTGTCTCTATCTGTACACATGTTTTCATTAGCTTGGACACTGGGATAAAAGAGCTTGTCAAGCTTCTTTTAGTCTCAGTTGTGTACCAATATTTTGGGAAGTGGAAGTACTCAATCCATGCCAAATCAATGATGCATGAACGTCTACAAATAAAGGGACAAATGTATGTGTTTGCCAACTTTCAGTACAACGAGGATATTCAATATTGGATGGGTTAATATTTTCAAAGAAATTTGTTTGAGAGCTTTCTTTGAAAACATAAATCTCAAATTTAGGAATGTAAATTTCAACTTTCTTTGAAAACATAAATCTCAAATGTGGGTCTTTCAATGTGATTGATTCAGTTCAAAAGAGTGCAAAATTTTCTGTTTCTGCTTCAGGTTGACAGGAAATATTTACTAGTTCCTAAAATATTTGAACACAGTTGTACTTGCATTACCTCTAAACCATCTTTTTAAGAAAGCAAGCTGGCAAGACTATTTACTATGATGTTTCAATTATTTAGATAGACATCCAGTTTTATTTGAGTTGTTTTTATAATATTAGGATTTATTTTAACTAACCTGAAGAAAATATTTGTCCCTACAGACTCTTGAAAACATTTTAAGATATACATTAGATTATTTATGTTTGTCTTCCAAAACTGACTATATTTTGGAAGATTTAGTAGATATAGTTTTTAATCTACAACTACATGAGTGCTATTTTAGCACCTCACATCTCATCCAGGATTTCCCAGAAACAATAACACACACACACACAGATTTCTTACCCTATTTGAGTCAATTCTTGCTCTGGAAGTATAGATGGGAGGTGGGATGTTAAAAGCCTGAGGGACCAGATATTCCTCAGCATCCATCATATCTTCTAGGTCTTCTTCATCCAGGAGGTTCTGAAAGAACTTGCTGTCATTGGGACTGGGAAGCTTCATGCGATCATCGCCCTGAAAGATTATCCACCAGACACTCAAAATATGATTCTTCCGTTCATCTAAATATGTGACCTCTGCAGTAAATTAAAGCAGTTATCAAAACTCTATTGAACTGTTCACATACACATTTCAAAAGCACATTTTAAAAAATAAACATCAGACATAAAGAATCCTATAGTATCCTTGGACATGGATGGGCAAGATACAATATTTCCACCAGACAAATGTGATAAATGAATTTAGAGAAGGATAAAGAAGAAGAATGTGGACATTTTGAGGAGTCTAAAAGTTCATATCTGAGAATAATGGCTCACTGACTAGGTGGGATGACTTTAGGGACAAATGACAAATGTAATCAATTCATCCACTTTGATTGTTTTGATGTTATAAAGTTGTTGGGATGCTTGCGCTTCATGATATGCTCCAAAGCTCGATGGCTACCTTGTCAAACTGGTGGCATTCACAAACCAAACAGCTGGAGAACAGGATAAACGGCTGTGAGATCCAACAATTGCTATAGTTTCACCCTCTATTTTTTATTAGTTTTTAAGTTGTCCATATTTATAGCATATTTTATAAATAATTTTAGTTCAACAAGGTTAATATATCACTCTATTAAAATGAAGAAAAAAATTCATTTTACTGAAAAGAACGTAATTCAGCATCTCTAACATCCATGTAATCATTGTTTTGGTGAAAATAATCATATATATGTGCTGATTTTTAATTATTCCGTCTATTTTCCTTCTGTTACACATACTATACTCTTTCTCCTGTTGTCTGGTTTATCTATGCATTAGTTCATTTGAATAAAGCATTGCTTAGATTCTGCATACGTCCCCAAATGAAAGAAAACATTTCAAAATATTTTTTTATAAAAACTAAAATTTAATAGTCTGAAAGATCTGATTCATTTTCTATAGGCACTGACAAGATGAAGGTGAAAATCCTTCATCTGATTCTGAAAGAGAATATTATAATAATAATGAACATGAACTACACATAACGTTAATAAAAAGTAGTTCCTCAAGGCTGGTCTGAAAATAAAGACCTTATGTATTCATGTAGAATCATAATTATTTAGCTATTCAATAGCAGAGCCACTTGACTAGTAAGAGAAGGTGCTCCAGGGTGGTTTTCTATGAAGCTAAAAGCTCTCTTTAAGCTATTTCACTTGATGATCTGTTTAATCAATGTTAGTGACCACGTCTACTGTTCCAAAGTCTAGGTGCTGTTCCTACTTAAGAGCAGACTGGCCATGGGGGTGGTCTTAAAAGCAAGTGACATGTACTAACCTGTATAACTAAGTATCGCTGAGGGTCTCGGGCCATCCTTGAGAATTCAGCAGCCAGTTCCTTGAATTTCGGTCTGCTGTCAGCATCAATCATCCAGCCTGGGCATTCACACAGAATACACACGTTACTATATGTACAAATAGGAAAAGGGAAGTATGAAAAAACAGTGTTTTCATAATCTTAATTGAAAAATAAACAAAAGAAAGAATTTGGTAGATAAGATTACTCTGCTGATTTTTTTAATGCCATGTACTATGTTATAAAATTACATTCAATTCCTATTTTGTTGATGTGACTCAGCATTTGTTTTTCTTGCTAGAAAATGAAGCTCAGAGAAATTCTGGGAAATTATATGATCTAAGATATTTTCCTTTAATATAAAGATAATTAAAATCACTTTCCTTTTATAGATGTGTTGATTAGAATATTACTCATCATTTTTGACAAGAGTGGTATGAAAAAAATGATTTGGTTCCAATAATATATGGTAATACAAAGAGGAAAGGCAGGAAGGGAGAACAAATTCCTCACTCAGCCTTTTCCTGGTGGAAAATAAATAATAAGGCCAAGGAACTGATAATGTTCGTTTAGCAGTAGCCATTAACTTATCTTAGTACCAGTCTTTCCAGCATAAAATTGCTATCAGAAAATTTTAAGCTATGTATTATTTTACTAGGTGCCTAGATCAAATGAGTCTTACCTCCCCTGGTTATGTTTCTAACACTGAGGTGATAATACAAATGAAGGTATCAAGGTTCCCTTGATTTTCTTGCTGAATAATTCATTATTCTTAAGTTTTAACTCTCAAAAAACAAAGGAGTAAAAATCTCTATTAGGTACATCTGTTCCTGATTTTACCATATTTTTACAGTATTTTATATCATTTCCTATTCCAGCTATGTGAAAAAACCACAGAATACACACATTCCTAAATTTTAGTCTATAGATGTCTACCCAGCAATTTTGAACAAATAAAGCTAATAATTTTGTCTCCATTTTTTCTAGGAGTTCAATTTTAATTCCACATCTAGGAATCTTTGCTATAAGTTTGTGTATCATTACTGCCAGCTGCTTTTTTTTTTCTTAGAAAGCTCTAAGGTCTATATTCTACATGCAGCCATTTCTTTAAAATGCTTGCTAATGTCAAGATGCTAATGAGAAAGTAGGCATTTCTGGAACTATCGGAGACAAAAAAGGTTAACTTTGCGGTGAGTATTGGTTTTTCTCTAACTAAATATTGAGTAAATAGAACTATGGTTTTAAGAAAAGGGCATGCTGACCTGAACTGCAAAGAACATGTTTTATTTCTTTCCTCACTGTCAGAATGCATCACACATGTCATGAATATAAATCTGGGTAGACCTGGGTCCAAAGTCTCTTATTAATAAGATGCTTATTCACCTTCACCAGTTTGTTTCTCTGCTAAACCTGTGTAAATCAAAAGGGGAAAACCCCAGATTATACAGAGAGACTGCTGTGTGTTAATCTTACTTAAATTAAGTCAGAAACCCCAGAGACTTCCTTAATTCTATTTAAATTAAGGGTCTAGGCTTCTAAAACACATTTGTCGTGCAGATGTGTCTGGGGCCTAGGAAGGGGAATGAAAAGTAAGACAGTTTGATGTAAACAAATGATCAAATTGAAACAAAAGAAGGAAGCACTCATAACCTTTTTTGTTCAATGCAGAAGCCCAGTTTTCTACCTTTGCTGTCTTTGGAGTAAGACTGCTAAATCTATTTCCATCTGATTCATTTTTACTAAAGCTGTTTTAAGTTTTCTTTATGTTTAAATTATTTATTTAAACATTTCCCATTAACATTATTAACATTAATGTTATTACTAAACTTATTGTGACTACTTCAAGAAAACTTCATTGTCGTAGAAATTATAAGTGTAAGAGTCATATAATTTTGATACCACAGCACTGAGCCATGCCATGTTGTGCATTAATGATCACAACACGAGTATTTACAAGCTCGTTTTATGATTGTTTTTGAACTGCTGCATTTCTCAAGCCAGTGATGCAGTCTGCAAGTAGAGTAATAGGTATAATTCTTTACTAAGGATGACGAAGATGCTAATAAACGCATGTTGCAGTCTTACATTTGACCATGACCATGTAGACGTCAATAGTGCAGATGGGAGGCTGGGGCAAACGTTCCCCCTTCTCTAACAAGTCAGGAATCTCGCGGGTTGGAATTCCATCGTAAGGTTTTCCTCCAAAGGTCATCAGTTCCCATATAGTTACTCCTACAGAGATGAAATTCTTACATAAGCATAGAACCAATATACTTGCACAAATCAGCTACAGGCCTTTGATAAAACACAGGGCTTTATAAAAATCAATTAGAAGAGAGAGGTGAATGGGTTTTCAGATTCATATATCCAGATGGCCATCCCAGTACCAGCATCTTTGCGGAGAATTCACTTGCTAATGTCCATGCACTTTAATGAATAGCACAAACAATTTAAATTATGCATCAAAATATAGAATATGCTCCCCATTCCTATTTACAAATAATGCTGTTTGCTTATCCAAGCTATGTTTTACTATACCATTTTATAGCCCCAAACAATTAGCTTATCATACATATGGTCTATAACAAATAAATGTAATTGCCGATAAATATGATACTAAATTTGAAACTAGTCACTCTACAATAAAAGCCCTAAAGGGTAAAACTGAGGTACCTGAATGATTGTATACTTATAAGATAGGGTAAAGAACTGTAGTTCTTTTCAACTGACGATAAAATTAAGTGGAATAAAATAGATTTATTTCTGTAGTGCATATAGGATGTTGGGTAAATAGCAATCCACATATAACATAGTGTATGTCAGGTGGACAGTTGCAAAATATAAGGGAATCAAGACCAATTTATCCCTAAGATAATGACATTATTTCCTTGAATTATAACAACACTGGCTTCCTCTGAAAAGGCAAATTCCTTAAATGCTAGATGCAACAGACAGTTTTCATACCTCTTCTCTACAGTATAATAATTACATAGTTAAAAATTATATTTTTCTTAGAAATAAAACTATTTAGGTTCAGAAATAACCAGGTGAGCATGATAATATTACAAAGTGTATTTTAACATAAAATGCATTAATTTAGAGTAATGCTTTCTTTTCAACTGCAGTTTCCAATAGACTTTATAAAAAATAAATGCTTCTTTTGTTTATAACAATATGTATCACTTTCTGCTGATAAAATATAAGACATAAAGTAATTTGCATATTTTATGAATTTTTGTTAATGTTTATATCTTACAGTTCTTAAACATAATATAAACATGTAACTAGTGGTGCATTTTAACTCTCTGAACTTTGTTAAATCCTTAGTTCTTCATATTAAACAGGGAACTTCATTAGAGCCAATGATTAAACCAATTGTTCACAAGGCAAGCTGGAACTGAGGAAGTGAATTACTTATTTTCTAGTTAGTTCACCATCTTAGAGTATATATTTTACAAGAATATTTTTATTTGATTAGGCAGTTATGAAAGAAAAAATGTGTGCGCATCTGTATGAACTTCCAGTATAACTCTCAGATCCAGCAATTAAAATAAAAACTAATAGAAAACATTGCAAATGGAGGTATATAAATAAAGAACTAAGTTGAAACATCAAAATCACAATTTCTTTAGATAACAATCAATTAATATCTTTGTGGGGATGATAAGGTATGGCTAAACAGGAATATTTTCAGATGAAAGTACAAAATCAGAAAAAAAAACCTTAAAACTTATTTTGCAATCCAATAATTTAAAGATATATATATGTATACAAAATTTTATAAACATAAAGATGCACCCCCATGGTAATTTTTCATAATGGTACACCCTAAAAAGGTGTATTTCTCTGACTTGTAGTACTTTTGCTATCAAATACGATACATCCTAAAAATCTTATGACATTTTATGAAAACTTGTTGATAACCTGGGTTATGTATCAAAACAGAATGTTCTCTCTCTCTTTCTCTCTCTCTCTGTCTCTCTCACTCATGTACCTCTATATCAAGATCATCATGTAACCTCTATCTTCACTGAATAGTCCTGGGATTTTCTCAATCAATATGGGGGAAGTGTAATACTCTGTTTAACAGGGATTTTCTCCAGAAGGCAGACACTATTGTTAAAAAATATGACTCTTTTGTCCACTTGCTTTAAGGACACTCCACATCTGCCTACAGAGGTTGGCATGTTGGAGCAGTACAGCTACGGTGATGCCGTCCGTCTCTAATGGCACAGATCCAAGTCCCTGCTGTTGCGTTTCCAACTCAGCTCCCTGCTGATGGCACAGAAAAAGCTACAGAACGTGCTCCAAGTGTTTAGGCCCCTGCCACCCAGATGGGAAGCTCCGGAAACTCCTGAATCCTGGCCTCAGCGTGGGCTTGCCTTAGCCATTAGAGCAATGTCAGGAGTGTTTCTGCAGATGGAAGATTCTCTGTCTGTCTTTCTGTCACTCTTTCAGATAACTAAATGTTTCCAAATAAGTTTTCCTACAATAGATTGCCACATCTAATGGATGGAAATTATGTAGAAAAAGAAAAGAAAAAGGAAAAACACTTAATGCACAATATGTGATATTGAAATATATAAATCCATCATATAGTATCTACATCATATAATATATTTTGCTTACCTTTATCATGTAATACACAAACAATATAACCCAGATAGTATCATGTATTATGTTTATTTTCTCTGTATCATGCAATACCTACGATATCTGTAGCTATATATTCCACATATCATGTAACGTATATTTACTTTCTATACTAATTTAACAATTAGCTTTGCCAAGTATTCCTCCTCAAACAATATTGATCTAAACCTCAAACAATATTTGCTGCTATTATTTAAGTTGAATGCTGTGTAACTTTCACCAAAATTTTAATGCCTCCTAAGGCATTTACTTGGGCAGAAAAACCCACTTTACTAGACTATCTTAAATGATTTTAGAACTAAAAAGGTGAATCAAAACTTGTATTTCAATAAAATGAATTGTACTGTACCTCTAAATCCTAATACCACAAGTTACTACCAGGCCAGCGCTTATAGCACATGAGTAGAGACATCAGTGTATTACATTTTACTGAATCATGAAATTACAGAAAAGTCAGATGCTAGAGTATGTTTAAAAATAACAGTATAAAGAGAAAATGCCTTTAGGATATGGTTCTTACAAAAAGATTTCTCTAATACAATAAAATAATTTGATTAAAGATATTTTACATTGCCATACTTTAAAAGCTCTAGTTCACAAGGAAGCTTTACTTACCATAGCTCCAAACATCACTCTGGTGTGTGAATTTCCTATAATGTATACACTCCAAAGCCATCCATTTGATTGGCATCTATTCAAGAGTAAAAGTTTTGCAATACATAAAATAATTTCCATAGTTATTTCCCAATGTCAGTGTCCTAGCTTACTTCAATTACAGGTGTTATTACATATATAGATATAAATGCGGAAATATTTCAAACAGTTTGTGGAAATCAAATTAGAAGATAAGCTTATTTAGGTGCAAAAGATTTTTAAGTCCATTCATAGAAGGAGCTTTCAAGTAGTTCACAGAAAATTATAGTATGAAAAAACTGCATGGCTTTCGCAAATTTTTTTTCACCAAAATAAATATAATGCTTAATTACATTTCCGTGAATTATTTGATATACTCTCATATGTATGTGTTAATACATACATATATATGTATATATAAGGTATTTTTAAATATAAGGAGAAAATTAGTTGAATTGTATGAATTCAGGGGAATTAACTCTCAGACATGCCATTTTTAAAACAAAAGCTTTATAAACTATGAAAAGTAATGAAATAAGAATAATTTTCTATATATTTCAACATTCAATAATCAAGTAACTATTCAATGTTCTGAACCAAAACATAAAATTTAAATATCTGATTTGCACTCTTCTTAAACTGTGTCCCTAATGCTTCTTTTTCTCAAAAGAAAATAATGTTCTTCACATTTTTAGTTAACACTTTCACCCTTAGACACATTTTGGGAAACTTACATAACAGACTGATTCCAGACTTGGATCTTCTCTTTCTCCTCTTAATATAATTTGTTCGTTAAATTGCTTAAAATCATGAATTCCAAAGGTAGCTTTATTTTGTTCCCCAGCTACAAATGACCTCCCTTGTCTTGGCTAGCCAGAACCGAAAATATGCACCATTGTCAGAATAGAAACTATATCAAACAGTGTGAGACAATCAGCACGAAGTTATCATCACTACAAGAAAAACAACTTAACCATGTACCCTGCTTATGATGGGTCAGCAGAATGCATTTCAACTGCGAAGGACAGAGCTGGGAATATAATTAGGTTCTACAGAATAAAGATAAACACATCTACTTTGCAGTTGAAAGCTGAAAACTAAATAGGCCTTTGAAATCATGAGGTTGGCTGCTCACCAAGGTGACACCAAGGTAACTGTGTGACAAAATCATGGTATTCAGTGAAAGGGAACAGAAGACACATTGAAAATAATTTCCCTATGGGCAAGGAGCTAGCTGACTTTAAGGACTATGTGTGAAGCAGTACGTTTAAATCGCAGGTGGCTAGATAAAGACTTAATGGTTACCAAGCATTTAATGCTGTAATGAATCTTGCTTTAGACAAATCCTACAGCTGCATGTTCTCAGGACAAGTGAAGTCTTGTAATTTATAGACTTCTGCACAATCTTGCAGTGAATTTCAAAGCCTTAGCCTCAAATTCCTGAAATTTTACAGTAGATAAGCAAAATAGGGTAATAAAATGAAGGAAAAAAATCAAACAATTCCAGAAAATTGAAGTTTCTTTTTTTAACTGTGTGCTATGCAGATATACAAGAGTTTAGGATGCCATCGGTATTAAGCATGTGAAAGCTTAACATTGTAAAATATTTACAATATACATTTGGTCAACCCATGGTAAGTAAGAATCACAATAAACACTTATATGTCATGTGAGCAATGTTTGTGCTTGTGTAAATTTGCAAGTCACCGTAGATAAAGGTTACTTTTGGGTATTTTATTTGCTCTATTGTGACATAGGATTCCCTAATAGACTATAGGAATTATCTGTGTAAGGGCTATCCTTACTGACTAGAAAAGAATGGCCAATTTTGCAGGTAGTAAAGCAGTCAAGTTTTTCTTGCCACACAGTCTTGCCGTATCTGAGTGCCAGTTCCAGTCCTAACTTGCTTCTCACCCAGCTTCTTGTTTCTTGAGCCTGAGAGGGCAAGAGATGATGGTCCAAGTACATGGTACCTGCTACTCATTCCTGGATCCCACCATCACTTTGACCAGACCTAGTTACTGCGGCAATTTAGGAAACGAACTACCATATGAAAGACTATCTTTCCTTTTCCAGCAAGTACGTAAATAAATCTTTAAAAGCAAAGAATAAAGGATGTCAAGTTCAACAGCAACTTGAAGAGGAAATACAAAATTTAACACTTGAACTGAGGCTACATAGCGGGTTAGGTGAGGTAGGGACATAATTATCAGGTGGATTCTGAGATTTAGTGGCATTTTTCAGATTCCCCACAGTATAACATATGATGTTCTACTAGAGAAAGTCAGATAGAAAATAACTTGAGTAAAACATGCACCATGATAGAAGACATGGGGGGGAAATGGAGTTAAAAAAAAACAACAAAAATGTAATCTACTGTATCTGGTATAGCAGGATTAAAAGTTCACTAGGTTTATCAATATTCCAAGGAATTAAGGCAATTTTTGGTAGCTGAATTTCTCTCCAGTCTATGCATGCAAAGTTACATCTGTCTATAAGAATTAGCCCTCTTCCCTAAAGATGAATGGCACAAGCTCTATAGTTCTGTGTGAAAGTTTAATTTCTGGGGTTCCTGGCGAATCACCCACATAAGCTTTTTGAATTTAACATGAAGACCATTTGGATCTAGACAGGCATTGCTTTATTTCAGTTAATTTGAGAAATGGGAGCTGGTTGTGTGTATACACACACACACACACACAAATCATGGGCATTAAGGAAATGTATGCGTTAAGAAGACTTTATAATCCAAAGCTCAGGATCAATGGTTTTTCTGATAAAATACTAAGAGATAGCTACAGTGTTCTAAAAAAGATACTTACCTTTCCTCCATCAGCATTATACTCTTTTTCATCTCCTTCCAGGAGTCTGGCCAGTCCAAAATCTGTGATTTTCACGTGGTTTGGAGATTTCACTAAGACATTTCGGGCTGCCAAATCTCGATGAACAAGTCGTCGTTCTTCCAGGTACATCATTCCCTGAAAAACATCAAGTCTCCAGCGATAGTTAATGCCTGCATTTTTCATAGTCCATAAAGGAGTCTGTTAACATTCAGTTGCAAATGCTTCATTTCTTTAAGTGTCACCAGAACACTGGGTTATTTTCAAAATGAGAGAAAACCTAGGAGTAGGGAGTGGAGCAAACTGTATATATTGGCCTTTCCTTTGCTAAAGTTATATGAAGATGAATGAATTGCCTGCACATGAGCTAAAAGTTTGATAATTTTTCTCATACTTAATATTCGTTCACAAACTTTCACTAGTGAGGTGTGCAGGTGTCTAAATAGATAACTAGCAAATACTTGGACTGACCCACCTATTCCTAATCATTTTCTTCTCAGTAACCATTTAATGTAATCTTTCCCACACATTCATTTCAAACAAATGTACCAATCTATAATTTTAGAAAGATATTTTACTCATGGCTTAATACTGCCAAATGTACCACCACAAACTTTGTTGAGGTTGAAGAATTACAGCAATTTTATTAATTATTTTACCTCAGCTGTCTTAAAATTCTGATTTTTAAAAGTGTTCTTATGATAGTAGTAGCCATTATAAGAATCACCAAGTGAAATACATAATTTAATAGTGACCCACAAGATATCCTTAAATATGCTGTCTTCATAAAACATACAGGAAGATTGAAGAATAAAATTTGTTGCCAACTGAATAGTTGGTTCTCACCCACAGCATGCATGCAGACATAAACTTATGTATATGCATATGCACACATACATATGTATCATATTGTATCTACACAATTTGTAAGAATACTATAATCCATAGAAGAAACAGTTAATTAATTGCACTTCAGTAGTAGCAAAACTATGAATTATTAAATAATATCCTTTGCTAAAACCATTATATAAAACCAAGGAAATTAGCTCAATAAACTATATGAGATTAGATTAAAGGGAAGCTACTTTTGATGGCGTTATGGAAAATTCTATATTTGACCATTTCAGTGACGGAAGTAACCATTCAAAAACGGAATTAAATGATTACAAAATGGCTGAGTCACACTCTTATGCCAATTGCAAATCAATGCTGCTGGCAGTTAACATTACAACTTCAGGGCTCTGATGGATTAATGGTTTCTGATATCAAAACAAAAGCTGTAGAAAACAGACACATAAATCAAGCAGGTCAAAAAATAATGAACCGTATACCCAGTGTAGTGTAAAGAGAAGATTGCTCCAAAAACATCAAGAGCCAAGCTCCACACAAATGCCCATTAAACACAGCCCATGGAGATAATGCTTTCAATAGCTCCATCAGTCAGCAGTTGGGTGACACTGCATGTATTAGCGTTTTCTGAAATCAACCCGCAAGTGGAATTTATGGTATTTTTGCCCTCTTTCCTAAACAGTGCCCTCTGTTTGACTAGATCAAATTGAAAATTTCTAGAACGAGAAAAATTGATACTATATAGCCCTTCAAGACTTAAAAGATCAAAATGTAAAATTACTGCTTGGAAATAAAGCGTTTTATGTCCTCCCAAATAATTTTGTGCTGTTAAGAAATGTCCACAAAGCTTTCATTATTATCTTTTTGATCCATTCATATCAGAATATGTAATGTGTTTTGACATTAGCCTAATAGACTTGCACACATTTATCGAATGCATTTTATACTGCACTCATTTAAGGCACCTGATTTCCACTATTCTAGGACTGTATCACACACTATTCCTTTCCAGGAATTTTATTTTAAATATTTAAACTACTCTTTTGGCTCCTACATTCATGACTAAATAACTCTGACAAAATGAAGCCAGAAGGCATACAATGGGGATAATAATCGCAAGGTATGCTTGCAAAGTGAGATATTAAATATAAAATAAAAAATTATCCTTGGTAATTGATTGAATAATGAAGGAGACTAAATTGAGAATAATGCTTTACTTGTTGATGATTTAGCTAGATAATAATTCTTTGAAGTAAATATAATCCTATTAGAAATATCATTCATGTATTTCTTGAACATATACAGGAATAATGATGTGTATTTTACTACTAGGGAACTAACTCACACACACTAGGAAATTTAAGATTACATAATGGTTGAAACATCAAGATCTCTCCCCATTCACATAATAAACCCTAACTTCCCAGGCGATGGTGCTTGCACGTGAGGACTTGGAGAGGTGACTGTCAGAACAGTCTTCTGAATGATATTAATGACTTTAAAGGAAACACCTGCGTGATCTCACGTTCCTTTAATGACACGAGGTCATAGTGGCTGAGAACAACAGGATGGGGATCCTCCTAGGACACCCAAGCTCCTCGCACTTCAACCTTGCTCTTCCTAGCTACCACAATTGTGAAAAATAAATCTCTGTTGCTGATAAGTCACTCAGTATATGGTGTTTTGTTATAGCAGATTAAATACTCATTGGCACATTCTACAAAACAAGCAAAACTTCAAAAGCTCTAACAGTTCCTTGCTACTCTGTACACAGCATTTCAGCTTATGAAAGACTAGTTTGACCTTTAATACTGTCTGTCCAGATAAAATATTTTCTTTAAAATAATCAGAACTCACTACAAAAGCCAGGTGACGATTTTGCTGTGTTTCCCTCCCCCAGCAATGATCATTAAAAGCAATAAAAACATGAGCCACTATATCATAAGCATCAAATCATCGAAATACATTTATAATGTTGCTTTGTAACCAGGTAACATCGTTGTACTAATGGATACTTCCAAGTCAGTAGTTAAAACTGCCACTTGAAGCTCTGTTTTCACACGCTGAATCAGTGTGGAATTGTCTGCAGACTGCTCACAACAGATTTATCTGCATTATAGTTGATATGAAAGGATTTTGTTATGGGAGGATTTCATTAGAGTCACATTCTTTTTTATTAAAGTAATTATTTTTATAAAGTGAACACATGTTTGTAAAACAGATTTAGCAGCATTGGTGAGTCATATTGTTTGAGGGATTCCATCAATACAAACTCGTGCTTTAGAGTGATGGAACTGAAAAAGCAGAGTACCAGAAGTAGTAATGACAAAAATAAACCAAATGAAGTCCCTAGAAACTTAAAGATGAATAAAGAAGGGTCATTAATTATAATTCAAGGAATGGTGCATTATTTGGGGGAAAAAGAACTGAACTAAACTAAACTCAATACCTCCTATCTGTCCTGTACCATCTTCAAGGTTCTTTCTATCTCAGCTCATGCGAAGTACATTATGATAACACTAGTTCCAACAGAAACACAGCCAACATCGATTCAATAGAGCAGACAACAAATGCAGTGTATGTGTTTGGGTTGGTTGCACACTATTTATATGCTGTTTCAACTATGAAAATGCCAAAAATGTGAAAAGTGGAGTTTCTTGTTCTAAGCAAACTAGATAACTAGCGATGAATGTGAGGGTTGGTTCCTTACTGTGAGACTACACACTGAGCCAATTCCCATTTGTTGGAACAGAGTCATACAGATACATAGAAATTAATGTACATAGTTTTGAAAGATCCTAGCAGTTTCACAGAAGAAAAGATCTGAGGTTTCTATGAATTGAGCTCAATAATGCAAGTGACTGAGCTTTTTAAAATATTTAACATCTAGTTAAAATGCACAAACTTTCAGACTTTAGCAAGAATTTTAACTGTATGGTTTGGAGACTCCATTCTTACTTTGGCCACAGGGTAACTTGGGTCATTAGAATGGAATTGGGTGCAAATTCTACAGTCAATTTCTTGGTCCAAACCCGCAACTTTGCCATATTTCTGATACGGGGTTCTAAGTAAATCATTTAACGTTGTTGATATCACTTTCCTCCTCATGAAATAAGCATAGTAACATCTATCCCATAGTTTGTGTGAGGGTTTCTATTATGCTTAACACTTAAATACTGACACATAGTAGCTATAGATCATAGAAACCTTAATTATTGTTCTGCAGATAAATATCCACAATCTGAGAGCAGACATCCATTACTGACTCTCAATGACTTGACTTGCCTTTCAGAAAAGTTGTGAACCTCAGCTAACACATCACAATGAGTGTTCCATAAATGCTTGACAACTGTGATAAATACACCCATATTCACCCATCAGGATTAATATGTAGATACACATTTCAGAATTATTATTCAAATTACTATTTAGAATATCTTTCCATGAGGAAACTGTCATATAAGGAGAAAGAAAAACTGGGGGTGTATTGAAAGATTCTAGACTATCCATAAATATATCATCTTGCAGCAGTTTAGTGAAGGTAAAGATCATGAACAAGACAGATATAAAAGTCCTAGTTAGGCAATGGGGTGAGTTTTCCCAAAGTCTGCATCACATATCACCAGAATGGAGGTGAAATTTTTGTAGACAGTTGTTGGGGATATGTTGTCCACATCCTACAGTCCAATTTTAACTAAAATTGTTCATAATTTGCCATTTATCATACCTTCTCTATGTAATATATTCAAAAATGCTTATTTATTTTACATGTTACTCCTACATCTTAAAATGTGCAGTTGTACTGATTGGCTAGGTTTATGATATGTAATAGACGCTTATATCCAATAGAAATGTTGTTATTATCCTAAGGCTTTCCCCAGGACCCTTCCTATATAAGCTTGAGCTTGGTTATCAATAAACGGACAAGTTCACCATAATTGTCTCCAGTACTTCTGTATTGAGAATGTCATCGCTGCACCACAATATCTGAGTGGGTGGTCTATGGCCATAGTTCCCCACACATCACATATATACAAACTAGTTATAGATATTTAAATTTATACAGAAATATAACTTGATATTGAAACTTTATTATCATTGACTTTAGCATTTTAATCTTTTTTACAATCAACTCACATAAAAGTCTCCTTGGAAATAAAATCTGTTGAGTAAATTGATTTAAAAATCTTGGTAAATACCTAGCAATAACCTCCTTACAATCTTAGAAGTCATAATCATCTTTGAGTCATAATCACCAAGTAAAAAGCATCATTATATATTTTTTGTTT